AAAATGCTTCTGTATTTTTGGGGAGGGTGCTTCTCCATGCAGCATGACAGTGACCCAAAACACAGCCAGTGCAACCAAGTTGATAAAAACCAGTTGGGAAAAAAAAAAAACCTTAGTAGGTCAAGTGTAAATCCCAACTGATCAGCCATTTTACATGATGTAGGACAGACGTTCGGAGCACCTCGAGAATAAGAGAGCTCAAAAGTAGCTATGGACAATAAACACAAATGATTACACAGTTTGGAGAGCTCAATAGGTCGCAGACTTCATGCAGATATTACCTCAAAAGCACATGTAACCAAAAGACTTAACTCTGCATTGCACGAAGAGTGAATTCTTAAGGTCACTTGAAACCGCTGAGCTGGGTTTTTGTTGTAATGTGATCAAATGTGTGCATCACGGTGGGGCAGTGCTCAGTATTGCTGCCTCGCAGCACTGGGGCCCTGGGTTCAATTCAGACCTGGGGTGCTATCTGTGTGGAGTTTGTATGATTTGTATGGTTTTTCCCCGTGTTCAAATGGGTTTCCTCTGGGTGCTCCAGTTTTCTCCCACAGTCCAAAAACATTCTGGTAGGTTAACTGGCTTCTGTTGCGAGTGTTTGTATCTATATGCCCTGCGATGGACTGGCGTCCCTTCCAGGGTGTATCCTGCCTTGCGCCCAGTGTTTGCCAGGACAGGCTACAGCTCCCTGAATTCAAAGCATCCAAAAGGATGGTTGATCAAAAGCGTGCACAGAAATACCCAAAAACAAAACGTACATTATACTGAATCTCTCATTCCTACAAGCCTCATGAGCATAAATACACAAAGCTTCACTCCCCACACAAGGGAGCGTCTCACCTCCTCTTCCTGGGTGGGGAGCGAGACCCGGACTCGGATGAAGACTGGGAGTCCGAATCCGAGCTGCTGGAGCTGGAGCTCGGCGACCGGACACGGTACCGCCTCCTAGCCCGGCCTCTCTCCTCTGCCGGGGGGCTGGCTGGACTCTCGTCGTAGCGGAAGGTCCTGCTGCTCGGGGATTTCTCCGCGGGTGCGATGTCGGCCTCCAACCTGCAGGGGGAGCTCTCCGGGGAGAGCATGACCGAGCCGGACAGAATGCCCATTGCAGGCTGAGTCCTATGGTCCAGGGGCTGGCTGATAAACTTTTTAGGTGAGGGGGCGACAGGAACCCCGGGAGGCTTGGTGGAGACGGGGGCCGGGGGAGAGGGGCGCTCTATAGGCTTGATGGTGATGACGGGCAGCTGCTTCACGTTCCACCGCGTTCCCAGATCGCTCCCTGCTGGCTCTGTTTGAGGCAGGCAGTAGTCGTGGTCGGTGAAGGCCGGGATCTGGGAGGTGGGCGCAGGAACAGGCTCGGGGGCGGGGGCGGCGGGGGCTTTGGGGCGCGTCTTGGCTCGGGGCAGCGGCCGAGGGTCGATGATTTGGATGGTCTTGGAGTTGCACGGCCTGGGAACTTCGGCAGGCTTGGGCTTGCCCGGGACCACCGCCGCTGGGGTCACGGGCTTCCACGGGTGGTGAGGCGGGGTGGCAGGAGGAGTGAGGCCTGCACGGAGAGGGGCAGGAGCGTGTAAAACATCAAGAGGACAAACACAGCCCGCAGAAGCCCCATCCATCTGATTAACAGGCCGGTGGACAGAAGGAACACCGCCACTCCCGTCGAACAGCCATGTGCTCAGAGTTTACACTGTGCAGGCTCCTGCACTCAGCGCACCAAAAAACAAATCCACCCGTTTCTTTTGTTGCTGTCCAGGAACTAGTTTTGAAACTACAGTAAATGCCTGCAGCTCACTAGACTTGAACTCCTGCAACAGGAGGTACTTCAACTGATCAAGACTAAAAAGACCTGCAGTGTGGCATGTTAATGGGAAGCCTTGAATGAATCTCTGAGGACAGCAGGGTCCGCGGCAGGCGGCATCACATGCCCCCCCAAGGTGGCGCTGGAATTGCCGTACTCACCGGCGGAACTGGCTAGACCCAGGAAGAGCCCGCGCTCCAGCGATTTCCCATCAGGCTGAGGCTCCGAGCTGCCAACAGACACACCAGGCATGTTATTAAGCTCAAAATCCTGCACACCTCATAACTCATTACGGTCACAGGCGAGGAGGTAACAGGTGAGAAAAATCAGATTCCCCCAATCACAGGCAAGAGAAACCTATGATCAGGGAAGGAGCTGCTCCGCTTTACACATGGATTTCAAGATAATTCAGTTTTGAACGGTGCTGTGGTTTCTTTGAATACTAGCCTGCATTTGACCAGACAGCTCCATAACATTGTCCCTTGTTTAATGCATTGGTCCCTCGTATGTAACAATTG